TATAACAGTGTACAGTCCATCGCATAAGGGAATTAATGCAAAGTTCAAGTTTCTATTAAATCCGTTCAATAGTTCGAAGGTAGCGATTATTTCTCGCTTAATTCTTACCGAACAGTTTCAAAGTTACAAGGTCCTTTTGATTTGCTCTCCTCTAAAGTTTGAAAAGTGTGACTTAATACACTCTGATTCTGAAGTCCAGATATGGATTTCAATGATATTGAATGATATTTGGAGTTTTGGAAATGGTAATGTTGTAGGTTTACTGTTGGGAGGGAGTTCATTCTATAAAGGTGGACAGAGAGGCTGCTCTGGAAAGTGCTTGTCGGTTATCGGAAGATAGCTCCGCTCAGTTGGTTAAAGCCTGTCAGGGTCGAGAGCCACCTCATCTGCTTCAGATTTATGATGGAAAATTAAAGATACTAGCTGGAAGACATCGGGACTCTTGTTAGTACTACTTGTACCGGTTTATTGGTTATTTTTTTCTTTTTTCGTAATGTTAAAGTTCACCATTGAATAATGTTGCTCGCAGCGCCAGAAAAATATCTTGTCAGAGTTTTCGGATCAACGCCTTATACGTCGAAAGCGGTTGAGCGTCCTTTGAGATCCAGCAGCCTCGATTCTAGCGGTGTTTTCATCCTGTTCTCCGATATGCCTGTAGTTTGGTGCGGCGGTAGAAGTACTGGCGATGCTCGGCAAGCGTCCCGACGACTTGCACCTAGAAATGCGTCTTTGATGATTGAGAATAAAGAGGATAATGATTTCTGGGCGGAACTCGGAGGTGAAGTAACGACTGTAATCTAGAAAAGATTTATTAAACATTTTCAGTCAGATTACAGTGTTTGTATAGAAACGTTGAAAAAACTAAACAAAATTGCACGCTTCAGGTAAAGGTACTTATGGTACGGAAACCATCGACATCGGGGAAGAGCTTGAAAGGCATTTGTATCAGTGTGTCACAGAAGGTGACACGTTTGTTGGCGAAGAGGTTCTTGGATTTGGACAGAACTGCCTCCTTCCAGAGTCCATTTGGTTGCTAGATGCTGGAAATGTAATATGGATCTGGATTGGTAAATCATCGACGCCTAAATCATTAAGAGAATGCGTCAACGACGCCATGGTGTTTCTGTACACTCACCCAACTAGTCGAGATAGAAATACAACAATATCTGTGATTAAGCAAGGTATAGCGAATCGTTCGTTTATAAAACATTACATTTTCACAAGCTTCAGTGAAATTTTCCTCCTATTTCTTTTAGGCGCTGAGCCTTCAACATTCATTGGACTCTTTGAAAATTGGAATCACAATTTATTAAGAGACTATAAATCGTTCGATACATATTACACACTGTTGCAAGACAAAGAACCCGTAACAAAAATACAAACGTCATCGAAGTCATCAAGTGATTTCGATAGTTACTTGAAATATCCTCTTTCGGTATTAAAAAACGATCCAGAAAATTTACCATCCGGCGTTGACGTTGCGCGCAAAGAGATGCACCTCACCTTCGATAATTTCATTGCCATTTTCAAAATGGAACCCGACGAATTTGTGAAACTGCCTCCTTGGAAAAGGCAAAGACTCAAACAGTCTGCGGGTCTTTTTTAACTTACAGATCTCCGTCTTCTTATAATAAAGTATGTATGATAGTCATTATAATATAATCAGAACAAAAATATATATGTATATCGTGTATTTTATTACATGGAATTAAATTTATTAATCAAAAGAACATAGGAGCAAAATTTTATTATCTTCGAAGATCGTAGTTAAGGATTTCTTTAAAATTCACATATCATCCGAGCTTATACTTAGCAACGCCTAATGCACATTTCAAGAAGAAGTGTCCATTGCTTCTTCTACAAGTTTACGAATACTTTCGTCTTCAACGATTATGGGGCGAACTGTTTTGTTGAGTATAGCAGTGGTACCGTGCTTGTAGCGATAAGATATCGAACGCTGTCCCTTGACATTAGCGACATCATAAGGTCGCAAATAATCAACGGAACCCTTTCGAATGACGCACAGATCGATATTGGAACCAGAAGCCAAGTCGTTGAATACACCAGCACGAATTGCGTCTGCCACAAGTTCTTTGGCTTCCTCCTCCTAAATACAGTATAAAATATAAATTGCGTCATTTAGAAATAAAATTACACAGAATATCTTTCAATGAACTATGTGAGTATCGATATTCAATTAAGTATTATCACTCGTTAATTTACGAAAAATTAACTAATATTACAATTTCTACAAGAAAACCAATCCCAGCAGTAACTCGATGTATCAATTAAGAATCCTTACCGTCATATTAGGTTTCCATCTACTTTCAAATACAGACATTGCAGCTAATGATCCAGAACCCATACAGGTATACATGTGCTTATCTGCTGATCCATGAGGATAAATACAATATAATTGTGGTCCATCTAAATCACAGCCACCTAATACTAAAGCTGCTCCAATATAGCCTTTATAACGAAATAATAGATGCTTAATCATTGCATTGGCAGTGCAAACAGGTACCATACGACCTGTGTTCAAACGGTGCAACTCCAACTGACTAGATATCATCTGAGTTGTCATCTCAGTATCTGCAGCAGTTCCTGCACCGCAGCAACTTCAAAAAGACAATTACTTAATCACTGTCATTTAATACTATAGGAAAAACTATAAATTATAAGTATTAATTTTAATATTAAACTTACTACATATTTTCAGCAAGATAATGAATCTTGCTGCAATTCTTGTCAGCTACTATGGTATCTTCTGTAGCTCTTGTATCACCTCCAAGGACCACCCCATCCTTAAAAACGACTCCGGCAATCGTTGTTCCTGTCTTAACAGCTTTGGGTGTTTGAAGCCCTTTCTTTACCAGGAAATTGTTTCTGTAATTAATATAAAGTTAAATGAAATCAATAGTTACTTCAATTCTGAATAATGTTTATGACTCTGTCGGTACTTGTATAAGCGTAACTTATTGGAAAATAAAACTGCTTTTTAAAAAATGACACAGCAGTATTAATCCATAACAGGTTATGTACTCGGAATTATTGCTTTCCGACTTCTCTGTTATACACATCATTAATGCAAGTTTTATTTCATAACATGATTCTGTAACAATGGATTACCTTCCACAAAGATCGAAAGAGAATCCTGGTGCAGGAATTTCAGGCACAAGTACTGAAGACATGATTGACTCTACACTTTCAGCACAACGAACAGAAACACAATAATGAAAAGCGCCTTTGTAAATGTTGGCGCTTGCCAGAAGATGGCAGTTTTAACGAATACAATAGTCGTATGCATATGTATACATATACACGATATCCTCACACACATATTTGTATAAACAAGCAATTCAACTGCCCACAGGAAAATTATAAACATAAATGTAATTAAAAACATAATACATTTATTAAAAGTTAAACACAAAAAAGTGCTCATGAAATAAAATACGAAACGAAAATGTGCTTTGCTTTTGTACATAAATTATTTTAACAAAAATATAAAATAATGTTATACAATGAATAGTGCTTTTTCATGCTAAATAAATTGTTCTTCAAACTGCTATGTGTCGAAGAAATGGTAATTGAACAATAAATTTCACAAAAGAGGTAACTGAAACGTGCTGATACATAACATAAAAATGCCTACAAAAACTAATGTCACGTATTGCTATAAAAATACAATGCGCCTTCCGTCGTTTGATAAAGCTTAAAAACATTAACAATCAGCCTAACAAATTACAAGAATTTGTATGATCATATCTATAAACAAGATACATCGTTAATAATTTCTGCCATCATATTTTTGTCTTGTAAAGCCGCGTCTAATTCTTCTTGATCCCATTCCAAATTGACTTTCGACAAACGGGGCTCCCTTTTGGTTGTTAATTTTAAAATACCTCTAGTCTCTATCAGTGAACACAAACTTACAAATTCGGAGCAGTCGACAGCGTGGATATTCCGTTTCTTGCAGACCTTTTTATATACTTCATGCAGCTACAATATAATTGCAACCGTATAAATTATAAAATTATACAACTTATACGTATAAACTATATGACGTGCAAACTTACTTTTCCCACTGTCACATCTTTATTCCGCCCCTTGTTTAAAATAAGTAAAAGGGAGCATAGTAGCAATTTCTGTTGTAAAGGAAATGTGCTTTCTTCCTTCTCAATATTTTGAGATCCACCATAAACTCCATTCAAGACGGTGATGACTTCTTTCAAGTCTACTGGTTTCTCTGCTACAAACTGCTGCTTTTTAGGACTTCCAGTATTTATCTCTGTAAAAAATATGAATTTCAATAATAACTGTTTGTATCACGAATATAGTTTCATAGGATCCAAAAAAACATACCATTGTTATTTGTAGGTTGTAAAATTTGTGCTAATTTATGAGATTCTGCTAGCTCTACCACTCTTCTGCTAATGTCCAAGGCTCTCCTAATATCCCCAGAAACTGCTGCAACCTTTCCAGCTAACATTTGCAATGCATTCCCAGTAAACAGGTCTGATACTTTTGCATCACTCAATCTTTCTGTTATTATATTAGATATTTGTTGTTTAGTATATGGTGGAAAATGCATTAATTTTGGTTTCAGTTCACATTTGGCCTGTAATCTAGGTAATATCCTATCTGTCAAATCCAAGGCATTGGCAATACCAATTAGCAGTAATTTTGAATTTTGTATCAATGGCCATTCAAAGATAGAATATAAAACAGATTGCCTTTGGCTTTCTAACTGATCCAATTCATCTAAAATCAGCAGTAACATTTTATGCTTGGAAATTAAATATTTCTCAATGACTGTTTTACTATTTTTCCCAGACTTTGAAGCAGTCAATCCTAACTCATGAATGATCTTCCCATAAATTGTAATAGCAGATTTCATGGTTGTACAATTAACATAGACTACTTTGAACCTGGTCTTAAACTCAGGCTTTAACATGAGCTTTGAAAGGCATGCTGTTTTCCCAGTTCCTGGAGGGCCTGAGATGTACAAAGAAGCGGACGTTCCATTTTTCAAATGTTTTTCCATGAACTTTTCTAACTGAGATAATTCCGATTCTCTACCAGGTAATGTTTCAGGTACTGAGCTGTGTAAAGCTTTACGTGCATTGCGATATTTCTCTGAGTTAAATAATTGTTTAGGAACTAGTTTCTCTTCTTTATCTGGAGATGATATTAAATGTAATTTATCTAAAAGTGTAGAGGGTGTTAGAGGAGCTGTAAATGGCTCTTGTTTCCCTATCCTCTTTTGTTTTGGAGGTGTGGAACCAAGACCCTCTGGAACGAAAACAAATAATTATGACATAATGTATTAACAAAAAATTTATTAGTAACGATAACAATACGTCTGAATGACATACCTTCGCATTCGCTCGATTTTCGAACACGTCGTGGAGTCCGTGCAACCGTGCCTTTCCCACATATTTTAACATTACTGTCCACCAACGAATTTTCTACATCTGAATCCGACTCAGATTCACTGCTACTAAAGGTAATCACCTTTTTTACTGTTGAGGTATACTTATATGAAGTTTCTCTAGCGGTCGCATTAGTAAAATCTTGTTTCGGTACATTACTTTTAGTCCCGTAAAACGAACATTTCTTCCGTATATTGAATGGAATCGTTGTTTGAATACTTGTCATGTTTATGTAAACCTTAAGACGATAAAATTATTAATACATCCAAATTTTTCCACGGACAACTTTTCCGTGAAACTTTTAACGTGCACTTCTTGACATATTCTTCTCTTTATTCTGTAACCTACAACAATTTCTTCTGTTTGAAATTTCTTCGTTTGAAAATTGTCTTCAAATACACTTAAAATAATGCACTCGGTAAAGTTACTTTCGTAATTTCAGTGATGCACAAGAACACTTAAATATATTTATTAGATAGAGTTAAAGAAACATGTTCCCACGACGCGCACAAGTGCAGTTAATAGTAAGTTTTCGCGGGAAGATCCTTTAAACGCGGGAAATCAAGAACGCGTTACAGGAAACAGATGAGCATGAATTTTCGCGCGAAAACAATCATCTTTTGAAAATACAAAGAATTGCATTAAGATGTGGGCAATAAAAAACGTAGTCTGCAAGTATTAATAATGTTTTAATGAAAATGAATAAGTAATACTATCATTTCATTGTACACATCTATAACTATTTAGTTATGTTGCCGTGTAGATATGTTAAAGATAATCTTTCTCGTCATAACAACAATGGCGGCGTATGTCGTCACGTATTGCACGTAGTAGACCATTTATTGGTCCATTTCACACTTGGCAGGAGCGTATCTATATTTATAATAAACTCGAAATTTAAATTGAAACGCAAAGAACGTGCTAGTAGATAAAAAAATGAATTGCAAAGTCCTTAATTCAAATTCACAGCAAAATTTAAAACTCGTTAAAACAATCACCCATATTTTATCACATTTTTGTTGAATTTTCCATGTAATAATTTTTGAATTATAAAAAAAACCTTTAAGGTTTTTTATGTGTCTTAATTTTGACAATCTTTAAATAAAATTGGTTGGAACAGTTTAATGTAAATGAACAATATTCTTACAATTTACGCACAATTGTAATCCCCCCTAGAGGGAAACGTATAAACTACACGCAACGACATTTCCGGATCACCGTAGAAACGAGCGTGCCTCATCCATATTGGTGTTAGAAGTTGAAGGAAACGGTGGATCTGAAGTCCACAATAATCGAGATATTCTAGAGTAATCTAGAAATCTCGTAAGGCCAAAATGAGAGCTAAGGTAAGTTTTAATTGATAGTTTCTTCTCCGTGTTAATATTTTTCGTAATTAATGAATTATTGGGTGTTTCTATTACTATTTAAACATACGGTGTTTCGATTACTACGTGCGTGGCTACGTGATACAATGTTGTAAATACGATCATTTTGTCGTGTATTTGTGATGTATTTTATATCATAGAGAACGATAAAAGAAATAATAAAGTTTGGTAAAAAGAAATTAAAGTGAACTTCCAATTTTCAGTGGCGAAAGAAGAGGATGCGCAGGCTAAAGCGTAAAAGGAGGAAGATGCGTGCAAGGTCCAAGTAAATTTTGTATCCATGATCTCTGTAAGTATATAAATTGTATTTTTGAGTTTAATTATGTGGCACACTAACTTTGTATAGTTTTATTAAATCAAAGCATGTTAATTAAATATATATCTTCATAAGTTGAAAATTATTTTGTGTAAGACATATCTAACAATAATTAATACAAAAATAGTAGTGCAGAAAATAATGACTAATATAATTAACAAACTGAAGTATTATCATTACTAAAGACTTATGAAGAACAGAAAGATACAAAGTTTAATAAAGAAGTAATGAAAATATCAAGTTTCGTTGTAGTACTTCTTGTACGCAATTCTTGCTACCAAAATTAATATATTTTATAGTACTTTTAAATATGGTTTTAAGCTTATTAAACATTTCTTTCAGCTGTAGGACTAACATCATCAGTTCCAACACTATCAAACTTGATCAACCTGAACAACGTTCCATCAGCAGTTGAATGTCAACATTTCATTCCATTGTTTCTATGCAGAGAGTTTATGTTTTATTAATGTACACAGCTTGTGCGATTAAATAAACCTTATTAAACAAAACACGAAGTCCCTCTTTATTATCTTGTGTATTTAAGCTATATAAGGAGTTTAAAAGATATATTAAAAAAAAAAATGAAACATTTTAATATAATTTAGTAATTTCGTATAATTTGTTGATATTTGCGTATTCATATTTATAACTAGAGAAAAACTAGGTATAAGAAATACAGCGTTAACGTTATATAGAACTGTAAACATAACCTTAAATATTACGTGTGCAAGATGCGAAATCGATTACTATCAAACCTATTACAAACAAGAAAATTGTTTTATGAACATTTCAAACTTCGCACAAACAATGTAATAACGTATTCTCAATTAAAACAAGTTCAAAAATTTTCAACTAAAAGTGATGAATTTAAGAATATTGAAAATGTGGAAACCAGTTCGCATAACCTTCCTGCTTCATTCGGATCCAATTACAAAGTCTTTGATGACAAAGATGCAGAAATTATTCTCGATGCTAGTGAAAAAGAAATAATTAACTTGGAGGATTTGCAACTTGAAGAGGAATATTATAATCCTTACGAGGGAATAAATTTGGAACGTAAGTTAAAATTGCTATACATGCTGAATTGTTGCTATAATATATTTAATGTAAAAGATACCAACCTACGTATTAATATTTATAACTGAGAATCTTTCATTTAAAACAAAATTTGTATTAGGTGGAGTTAATGGAGTATTCGAAATAGATGACTTAGTACCACTGCTGCAAAGAGAAAACGCTGTAAATATTTTTGTAGCAGCAGTTCCTCCTGAACTATCATATGTTAGTTATATAGTTGTAGTCACAGGAAAATCACAGAAGCATATGAAAGGCCTCGCTGCTTTTATTAGGAAGGTATATAAATTAAAAAGGTGCAAAACAGATTTAATACCACAGATTGAAGGCAAGGATTCAAAGGACTGGGTTGCTCTAGATTTAGGTGCATATATTTTGTCACAGTATGTCATTCATATATTTGAAAAATAGATAGATGTTAGCTTTGCATTATCTATTTTGTAGGTAACATCGCATTACACATTTTCTCACAGCCTGCGAGAATGTTATATGATTTGGAAACTTTATGGTCAGTTGGTCCTGATTACGATGAGAAGAGTAAGGTATCAGATGTGGACATTATGGAGCAATATAATACATTTTTGTCCGATATGAACCCTATTGATGATACCGATTATATTAAAAATGAGTCTACCAAAAAAGATTATAAATAAAACTGATTAATAAAACAAATAAATGAATAAGACAATTTGAAGGTTATACTGAATAAAAGTATTGTGTATCAAATTATAACCCCTGTACATACGAGATAGTACAATATATCAATATTTTAAATTAGATCTTTAAAAATTTTTAAACATTCAGACAACTGTATTATAACCTACACTGCATTTTTTGTAATAATAATTTTATAAAATCCGAATACATAAATGTATGAAGGACGAATTAATAATATCAGAACTACATATATATGTATATATACAATACATATAAATGTGCTATGAAGAAGTATGCTGTGAATGAAGAATTTGCAATTTCAAATACGATTATTATGTAATAATACGGGAGTTATTTACAGTACGCATGTCTGATCGAAGTTCGTCTCATTGTCAGATGTAAAGAAAGGGGGTGCCCCATACCCCCCGCCACCCGCCACATTCGTTTAATGATGTTTCTGAAGTGATTCGCTTAGACAGCGTCCATATCTGAAGACGCTTTATCTCGGACTAGCAAAATGGAATCTTATCAAATTATCTACTTCATTTCACACGCTGACTAATCGTTCCGATATACACATTTATATATGTATATGTATACATGTTCTCGTTTTGATTTGAGTTGCCATACTTAGTTTTAAATCTTGCGTGTCGATCCGAATGTAATTTACAGTATTGTTTGTACTGTACTATTCTCCAAGAACGACATTGAACGACGACTGCAAATTTCACTTGAAACTTGGAAGATAAAAAGTATATCTACATCAAACGTGAAATATATGTTCCTTCATTAAAATGTCTATGCAATTAAATTCATTATAAGAACGACGTTTTATTCCTATGTGAATGAAAGAACAATTAAAATATCAACATTATTTCGGTAATGTATGTAAATCTTCACGAGCGTCTTTTTTTCTTCAAAAAATTTAACAATATTTCGGTATATAATTTGTTATTTTTTATTTCAGAGATTTATACGATTACAAAACATTGAAACAAATATTAGTAATGATAAAGATATCTGAAGCCAAGGAAAGAGAACAATGAAATGTTGAAAATAATTTGCTTGGTCTCACCCAAAAATGGCAAACAATCCAGAGTTAGTTTGTAAAAAGAAGGCCCCTCGTTTTCTAAAAGTTCCTTTAAAATCGACTGAACAGATTTATCTTCTGTTTGTAATTCCAACATTCATTGCATGTTTTGTATACATAATTCACTTCTCTGCTGATTTGGTGGTTGCTGTACAACATTTCAATGAAAATAATCCATTATGGGGATGGTGTACTATTATTTTCATGTATGCACCAGCAATCATGTACTTTATGTTAACTGTTTCAAGGCCAGATTGGTGGATGACAGATGATGACAAACTAACAAAAGGTGTCTTTGTTTGGTTCTGCCTTCAATTCTGTCAGTTGGTTGGATTCGTCTTTTTTTCACTTTATAGGTATTTCCTTTATACTTGTATTATTACTACCGTCATTATTTTTTATAAAACTAATCAGTGATACTTTTCTAGGTATGCAGGACTCATAGTGCTATCCGTGGATGCTATTATGTTATCTGGAAAAGAGAGAACTAAGACTCTAGATATAGCAGCTGCGCCAGCAGCTATAGAACTATACTTTTTCTTACAAGCTTGGTTTCAGGCAGCTCCTCAAGCTATCTTTCAAACACATTTACTCTTCCGTGAATCATCATCCCATCAGAGTCACCAATCTGGTACTTTTTACTTATGTCATATATTGTATAGCATAACAGGAATTATTTTACAAATCTGAGAATACCAATTTTAATACTTAATTTGTTTTGTAGTGGTCATAAGGGCACTTTCCATTTTTATGTCCATTGTGATACTGGCCATTCAAACTACTTCTATGCAACGATTTGAAAGTCAACGTGTTAATGGCAGAAAATTACCATGGGCAATGTGGTTAAAAAAATACTGTGATCAGGTATTTTCATATGTAATATTTTATATAAATCTTATCAGAATAAGTTCATTTTTGAAACTACTAACTTGACTTCCACAATTAGGAACTCTGTAATCTTGAAGAAAAAGCTCCTCTAAATTTAGCAGATGTAAAAGAGGAAGACTCTATCCATACAAATAATCCTACAGAGGAATCGAAAAAATTTGAAATACCTGCAATAGAAAATCGGGATGAGGAACGAATTTATTCTGATATCTGTTTAGATCGTCAAATATCTGTAACACCTCCGTTACCACCAAAAAACGTGCGAATTATACCACCTCCGACTCCTTTGCGGGGAATTACCACAGTCACACCTTTACCTATTCCTGATGCACCAGCTCCGCCCATACCGGATTCAGTATGTACAATCATAGAAAATGAGTCTGAGAATGTACTTACTAAAGCAGTGTCTGCTGCAGAAAAAAACAAAAGCACTTTACATAGTTTAAAAGTTCCACAACGAAGATATACAAAAAAATGTTTAGAAGAAGATGATCCTGTAGGCAAATTTCTATGTTTCTTATGGTGGTTTTGTTTTATTCTCGCGCGTATACTTGCTATTGCAGTATTCTATGAATTTTATCCAATTTATTTAGCCATTGTGATTAGTATACACTATGGCATAATGCTGTTGTACCTCTTTTATTATACGGAATATTACGATGGCATTAGTTTTATGGTTAATTTATGGTTGGGATTAGTTTATATAGTTAGCTTGATTGAGTATAGAATTAAATTTAAATACGCAGACAAGTGGCTGTTACCATACTATGTCTTTGTAGTACTTCAAAATACACTTCTGACATTAACTTGGTATTTCTATGCAGACTGGCACGGATTCTGGTATTCTTACATATTTTATGTAATATTTACAAGCATGGCGCTCTGCATTTTATCAACCACAGTTTATTGTGTTTTACTTAAACCAAAGAAACGTAGAATATATACCAGTTGACAAACAATTAATATTATTTCATGGTAGATTTATTGAAATGTGATTTTAAAAATGCTTTAATCTATTCTTAAATATTGCATCAACATGTTTTTCGTATTTATGTGAACTCGGTTCAACACAGTTTCGTTCGCTCTACAAAGGTATAGTAGCAAATCATTGTGTAATGTGACGATGAGGTACTTTATCTAATTACAATTACAATAAAATTTTTTTAATATAGAATTCGATACATTTAGGACTGATGTCGATCGTTAGGTAATATGTTAAAAATGTATTTATCGTATATTATTATAAATTACAGGTAGCTATATGTAATATTTATAAAAAAATGATCCGTCTAAGAATGTTTTACAAATAGTTATTATATCCGGCAGCACTTTTTCTTATCTGCGAATTTTATACATGTACAATAGTATTTACATTACTATGCATTTATATACAAAGACAACTTTAGATATTTATAAGAATACTACTTATAAGTAATAAAGTGTAAACAACATATTTATTATATATATATATATATATATATATTCATCATGTATATCTTAATCTTGTTTTTAGCTCTGAAGACTTTTTATACATTAAATTGAAATACTTATTTTGTAAAAATGTTTGTAAAGGTTAGCTAAAAACCATTTACTTTCACAGTATTTGTGAAACAATATTAAAAAATAAGTACATTACATTATTCATATGCGGCTGCTTACCTTAGCAGGCAAACCACTATGAAATTATTATTATTAAAATGGTACAATAATATAATTAATAAAAACACATTAATAAATCTGATTTGATACAAAATATATGCTTTCTTACACATCCCCCTTCAATTTGATTCACACCATTCATTTGCACATAGGTGTTCTTTGGATAAAAAAATTTTGGTCTCATACGTGTATATTGGAATCTCTGTGAAGGTTTCCCAATTGTGCTTCAAAGAGAATGTCATTTAATAATTTCTCAGCTATAATTCTCTGGTCTAATCTCATATTTCTGAGTTTTGCTGCTACATTCCGCCCAATCGCATCAAACTCATCTTCCATTACAAATGAGTTGTTGTGTGATATCTTTAAAAGATCTGTAGATTCAGCTTCCTCTGACTTATGTCTTCGACTTATGGGAGTTTCACTCCACTCATTAGACTGATCGTAAGTTTCTTCATTTGCTGGCTGGCATTCCTCCTATGTAAATACAATCTGTCATTTCCATATTAACTATAATTCTTATTCTGTATAATTTCTGGAATAATTCGCTTACTGTCTTATAACACTTTCTGTAACCTCGTTTTGTACGAACCAATTCTGGACACTTATCAGCTGACAAATCAATATATACCATTGCAGGTTTCCTCTGATTTGATTTACATTTAATTTTATCAATCATGAATGGATGCACCCTCTGTAGAACACTTAAATTAATAAACATAACAGTCACTAAATAAAATTTTAATATTCTAAATATTAAAATATCTTACTTTAATGTGGCTTAAAAAATTTCCGGTAGATTTCAAGTTTCCATTCAAGTGTTTTTGGCATTGTAAACATCTCACTGTGACATTGGTGTCTTCTACTCTAATTACTGTAAAAAATTCCCCATCCAGAATGGCTGGTAATCGTATTGGAGTGAGCGTCATGCTTTGCTGTGTATTTGATTGAATTTGTGAAATTTGATTCGGTTGATCTTGCTGGTGTTGTTGTTCTTGCTGTTGTTGATGCAAAGTAGGGGTTTCATGACTTTCTTGATTCTCTAATTCTATGCTCCGAGCGGAAGCTTGTCCACTCACAGTCTGTGATATTTCTCTTTGTGAATTTGTAGTATCAATCATACATGTGTCAAACGATTCAATTTTTGTCTCGAACCTTTGTGCAGGGAATGTATCCATGATCTTGTGATACATTCAATGTTAATTCTAATAAATAAGTAAGTTGAGTAGAATGTTCAAGAGCTTAGTAAATAAATTCTTCATGTATACTACTCTGTATACCTGCAAAATAATAAGAAATCATAATTTGTCCTGACAACAAAGCAAAATACTATTAGTTATCTTCGTTTCTTATTGAATTTTAGATAAGCTATTAGATAAGGATGTCGTACACATAATAAATCTAGATCAGATAATAGATGAGACTGTGGAGTATAAATGAAAGAAATTTCAGTGTTACATACCAACTTCGTAAAATGGAGCTATTTTAACGTGACACGTAAGTTTTTCGTTGTGCACTATAAAATATTCTCGTAATAATAGAATCTTTAGTTCATCTCTTCGAATACTATTGATTCGCCGATAAAGGTTTAAAAGTTATCACGAGATACGTGTGCATAAAATTAAATACTTGGCAGCACTGTAGTAAATAAACATTATAACAATGAAGATTCATCGGTACTCGAGCATATTTTTTTACGCGAATGGTGAAATTTGTTTATGGAAAAATAGCGCGTTGCACGCAGTATATTTTTCGTCAAATAAATTTGTGGCACAGACATAAAATTCGTATATGTCAAGTACACATTCGTTCTTTAACCTTTCAATTATACACAACCCGTCCTTAGATTCTTATGCAAAAAGAATTGTACATAGGATGTGAACAATATATTTAGTGTATAAATTAATAAGAATAAAGATAGTGTTATTGGTGAAAGTATATTGTGAAAACCACTCTATTTGGTTAAGACGTTAAGCTTTATGACTGCAGGGTATTTTTCTGAAACGTATATCACGTTGCCAGCATTGATGACACTGGTCCATTAGATTGAAAATGAAGCAGTGATGAAGAAGCTTGTCCGTAGGCGCTCGTAGGCGCTGCAATCAGTGTATTAAAACGTGTTCTAAGCGTATTGTTACAACTGTTTGATGTTTTCATTTGAATTTGGACGACTGTGATGTTTCGTGCTAAAGTGGTTACAGTGCAACATTTTTTAGTGTACAAGTTCTCATCGGGATAATATATAAACTACATTTCGCAACTTTCACAGAATTGTCTCCTGTATCGAAATGTCCGCCTCTTCCACTGAAACAACAAAGGAGGCCAAAGAAAAACAAGATGCGGTGTCGACAGAAGAAGACTCTGCTAAGCCGTCCTGTGAGTCAAATTCACAAACATTGTGTTCGAAGAGAAAGCGGGAGAATGAAACAAATGACAAAACGAGCGCAGAAGATACAAATAAAAGGAGGAAACTATCTCCAGAACCAGAATCATCTAAGGTAGTAAAATCTGACAACAGGCAAATTGTACACCTAAATATAGTATTATATTACATATGCAGGGTGTCCCTAATATACTTTAGTGATTATCATATCTGTTATTTATATTTATATGTAATGAATGTGTATCCAATTTCATATATTTCCTTATGTCTGTGCTGTGTCTGTATATATACATACATAGAGTAAAAAGCATATATGTATTTTTTTCATTTTAGTCACACAATTACATACGCAAGTGATACAATTTATTCTACGATGTCTGGTTCATTACTTTGTGTCTTAACTTTTGTTGAAAAATCGAACACAATGCCAATGGACAGTTTCTGTTCCATTCAAGCTCTTATATGTATTATCTCTTAAAATATTTTATTATATATCCAGGACATCCTGTATATTCTTCAACCATTTTGTTTATCTGTTAAATATTTTCTCCTTAATAAAACATAATTTTTAAATTACAGCTGAACAATATTCCTTCTGACTTATCTAGTGGCAGTAGTAGAAGTAATAAAGTACCATCTGAAACAGAAGCACATAAAGGAAATACAGTATTAGTTGCAAAGTATTATAACTCATTAGAAAACAACGATGTTGCAACCAGGAGTCAGAGTCGTATCTTATACATGAGAAACTTTAACAATTGGATTAAGAGCATGTTTATACGTAAGATTCGGCTCATTATATATGTGTAGTTTGGTTATTTACAGCTGATAGTAAAATAGAATAGAAAAGCAAAGAAGATTATGGGGAAATTTTTAGCAATATAAATTATGTCTAGTCATAGGTAGCAGGTTATGCTGCTGTATAAATTTATATAAAATTACAAGTGTATCATTTGACTTCTAATGAAGCTAGCTGCAATGTTAGCAAAACATAATGTTTCTAATAGAACATGACTAAAATCTTCAATGGTCATGACAGTTTCTGTTAAGTCAGTTTCCATAAGCAAAGAAACAACAGTATATGAATAGAAAAAGAGAGAGTAGACAATGGGTTTTCTACTATTTTACATCTTACCTGAACATGTGCTGTAGATTCATTAGCTGTATTTGGCCTAGCAGTGTGTATATATGTGTATTTATATGCATAACAAGACACTTAATGTTTATTGATATATAACCCAAAAAATGTAAATTACAGTGGAACATTTTGAGAAAATAAAGCAGAACAAAGTGCACGGGTCTTCGTTAAGGGTGTTAGACATGTGTTGTGGAAAAGGAGGAGACTTATTTAAATGGAAGAAAGAACGTATAAAACACGTGGTTTGTGCTGATGTAGCTGAATTATCTGTTGAGCAATGTCAACAACGTTACAATGACATGTTGAATAAAAGCTATCATAACAGAGGATTCAATCCGATTTTCACTGCTGAATTTATAGTGGCTGACTGTACAAAGGTATTTGTTTCTGTACAAGAGGTGTTATATGCATTTCTATCATTAAGCTTAACCAATGGGAGTTGACTATAAAGAAGGGTTTCAGGTTCGATTACGAGGAAAGTATAAGGATCCTAGTATACAGTTTGATTTGGTCAATTGTCAATTTGCATTCCACTATAGCTTTGAGACCTTGGAACAAGCAGAATGTATGTTGAAAAACGCTAGCGAATGTCTGAAGACAGGAGGCTACTTTATTGGGACTATTCCAGATGCATATGATCTAGTGTATGTTTGTTTTTTAGTACACTAGTAATGACACATGTATCTACGAAATGATCATTATTTCTTTTTTTTTCATCAGTTCTAGGTGGCAGAAATGCGACGGTAATAAATTTGGAAATGAAATTTATAATGTCGAATTTTTATGCGATAAAGAGAAGCCACCACTTTTCGGCGCTAAATACAACTTTCATTTAGAAGGTGTTGTCGATTGTCCAGAGTTTCTTGTTCATATGCCTACGTTTCGCAAACTGGCTTCGAAATTTGGTTTAGAACTAGTGAAATTTGAAAGGTAATTTAGGTTATTAATGAGATATAAAGTAAATAAGATTACATACAACAGAGATTACATATGTTAATATATAGATTCGAGGACTATTATGAACATATGAAAGGTGAAGGTAGATCACTACTTGGTAAGATGCAAGCTTTGGAAATGTATCCACCACGTCATGATGTGCCGCTTCTTGGCCAGTCTACGCAGGACTATCAGCATGCAGTACAATATATGCAAAATGTACCAGATCATCGCAAAATCGGGACTTTATCTCAGACAGAATGGGAAGCTATTTGTTAGTATACAAAAATTATTTTGATTCATATACAAGAACTTTTATTAGTGTTTCTTCAAATTTTAATTATGTTAATTTTAGCACTGTATGCTGTATTCGCTTTTCAAAAAGTGAAAATGGTGAGAAATAGTGAGGGAAAACCAGAAAGCGTAAAACCATAGGGATGAGGAACTTATTAGGAACTAAAATATTAGGAGTAGTTTGAAAATGAATCTAAACCAATTACGATCATTGACCGTGTATTATACACACTAGTCTGTTACTATAGAATTACATGTACCTGTAACTATAGTATACAGTTAATGATATTTTATATAATTTGTTTTTTAATGAATTTCAATCATTATGACTGTATAAAATATGAATTATACAAATTGTTTATATAAAGGTGAAATTAAATTAAGCATTGTTCAACTTGTACAACAATATGATTGTATAAAGTATTTATCATACATAAATATCTATTCTATAATTTTAAATATATCCATGCAAAACCTGTAGAATCGAGTTAAAAAAAAAGGAATAAATCTCAGTTTCCCTATATTTAAGTTCCTATTGACACAAATGCATCTAATGTATCACAATGCTTTTTTAAATAGAATAAAGATTTCTATTTTACATTTTTTCTGTAAAATACACTTATCTTTAAACTGTTTATTACAACTACTAATGCACCACAACTAATTATTTATTTGATCTCTTGCTTTTTCTCATTTTATTTATATTCTCTTTCTTATTATTTTATATACTCATACGTACTTTTTACTGTTAACTAAACGATATACTATTTCGTTAAATAATAATATCAGTAATACTAAAATACAAATTATGACTTTATTGCGCCATCTGAACATGAATATTTAATTTGTCAAACTGATACAAAACAACTTGACCATGCACCTACGACGGGCTTCGATAATGTTCGATTTTCGTTAAGGCCGCAATCAAAGTTCGCGACGCGTGAACAAAACCTAGAAGTTCCCCTCTTCAAAATTAAAACCATATCTGACCGATGTGGGACCACGTTCAATCCATATTTTAATAAATATTCGTTTTTAATACTTCTCGTCAAAATTATAAGTTCATGATTGCATTCGTATCCAACGTTCCTGAAACGAAACCTGACCGAATAAACAGTTACAGTTCGCGAGATTGCGGGGGGAAGGGTTATATCGGGGATCGAAGAGGCGGAGCCAACGGAACGCATGCGTAGTTGGATATTTTTGATACTTAGCTGGACTTTCCCATACGCTCCAAGCGTAGGCTCGGCCAGCAGTCTCGCGCGGAGTGTATAGTCGAGTAAGCGACCGACTGGTGTGTGTGTTCCCAGCCTCTTTGCTTCCCTCGCTTCTGTTAGACCTCGCGTTGCCAGAGTCTATCAGTCGTGTTCGTACGAGAAATGGATCTCGAGCAGCCAACAACGCAATTGAATCCCGACCCAGTAAGTGACTATTCCGTATTTATTTATTATCCCGCGTTCACCCACGTGCATGGTTTTTCGATATTTACCCTCTGAACGCCGGTTTCCTCTTGGACACACGGCATAGCTGCGGGCACGAAATTTTTCTAAGTCCCAAAATGGCGTCTGCGACTAAGTCCTACCTGACTCGTTTTGCACCGCCAGACGTTAAGTCCAACCAGCGGAGTCGACGCGACGCTTATGTATGATGCGTCTCTCGTATTAAGATAGCGTTTCTGATGTGAATTTCATTGTTTTCAGGATAAGAAAACTAAGGAGATCAACAATGTGACTGGTAATCACAGTGGTAAGCCATATTATTCGTGAAGTTTAGAATATCTGCACCGACATAGATGAGATATTGGAACTTCGCGACGGCAAATGCTAAGTTTAATGCGGGAGTTGGGACTACCGTCTACCCGACCGGTCTGACACGTGTTTCGACTCCAATGAAGCGTCCGAACCACTTACCACTTCCTGGGATTCGAATTTTATTATTTCTTTTAATGGGCACTCGTTCAACAAATTTTCTTTCTCTTTGTGTACGAGTTGCGCAAGATACGTTATTATATTAAAGAAGATCAGATCTTCTTAAAAAGGATAGTTCAAGAAAAACAGAAAAATTGAATTAGAAATTCATTTGTATTTTGGAAAATTGCAAAAGCATAAGCGAACTGGACTTTATGCAGTTGTAGGCATGTCAAATTGTTTACAATTCGGAATACAGAAAAGTTTAATAAAGATTGAGTTTTCATAAACATCCGAGTCTAACAATGAGTGATACTAATTGTAATAAATATACTAATAAATATAAGTAATATATATGTCAATGTTTTAATAGTTTTATAATATAACACTCAAGTAATTAAGTAATTTATTTTCTATATGAGAAACATACTCTGAACATTATGTTTGATAATGATTTTAGATACTTATATAAATGGCATGTCTAATGGATACGATAGGAAAAAAGAACATAAATCAGAGCATAAGGATAAAGACAAGGAAAAGTCCCATAAGTCTGATCACAAAGACAAAGAAAGGAGTAAGGAAAAAGATAAAAATCACAAAAGTGAGCATCGAGAGAAGGACAAGGACAAACATAAACATAGTTCCAGTTCTGTGAAAGACAAGGATAAACATGATAGTAGTAATAGCAGTAAAGACAAAGACAAAGATAAAAAGAGCAGCTCGTCATCAAGCAAGGAAAAAGAACATAAAAGCAGCAGTTCCTCGAGTAAAGATAAAGAAAAGGACAAGCACAAGGACAGGGAGCACCATCACAAATCTAGCTCTAGCTCTAGTTCGAAGGATAAAGAAAGGTAAACAAAACCATCTCGATTATAATTGTTTTTATTATTTTTGGTTGTTCTGCTTTTATGGACAAAATCATTAAATACTATTGTAGACACCATAGTAGTTCTAAGGATAAAGAGAGCTCCAGCAAAGATAAAGACAAAAGCAAGGATAGGGATAAGAATAAACACAAACACAGCTTAAGTTCAAGTTCTCGGGACAAGGATAAAGACAAAAGTGTATCCAAAGATAAGGAAAAAGAGAAGAAACATTCGTCGGAAAAGGACAAGGAAAGACACTCCACGTCTCATTCAAATGACAAAGAAAAGCATCGCTCTTCTGACAAAGACAAGGACAAGGACAAGCATAGTTTATCGAGCAAGGATAAACATCGCCATGATAAAGATAAAGACCGTCATCGTCATGACAAAGAGAAATGTAATTTGTGTTTTTTATGACCGTTACCTACTAAAATAGTTTAGTACTAGTTATGTGCTTTTAATAATACATTGTTATTTCATTTGATTTGTAGCTAAGCATAAGGAAGAGAAAGATAGAAAGGATAAGGAAAAAGAAGATATTAAAATGAACGAAGAGGTAGTAGATGTGAAACCTAATCATGTACAAGCCTCAGAATTTAATTTCATTGACATACCTGTGAAGCATGAAGTAAAGGAGGTACAAGTTTCATGTTTGTTACTAGTATAACAAATTATTTAACGAATAGAAAAATAGAATTTTGACCAAAGTCGTATCTTGTAGGAACCTGTTTCACAAATTGAACCAGAAGATGACGATGACAGTGGTGGTGAGCAACCATTATACATTAAAGAAGAGGAGGATGAAGAAGAACCTGCTAATGAAGACGCCAGTATGGATTCAAGTGATGGAAATGACACAAGACTTTCAGATCTCCATAACACAACTATTAAAACTGAAGAAGAATCCGACGAGGATATGCCTTTAGTAAGTAACGTATGTTTACGCATCAAGCATTGATAATATTGTAATTCAAAATTTTATATGAAATCAAAAATTGTGTAGAGTACAAGATCCAAACCAAATACCACCAGTAAAAGAAGAATATATTCAGATGACGAAGAAGAGGATGTTCCCCTTGTTGTGCGCAAAAAATCTAAAAAAACTGAAACAAAAGCACAGATTAAGAAACCAAAGTATGAAGATGAAGAAGAACAAGTTGAACAAGTATATAAAATGCTTATTTTGGCATGCTGAAATAACTATATTACATTTTTTAAATTTAAAAAATGTTACGAGCTAACATTTTTTTTAGAAGCCAAAAAAGAAACGTTCAAGAACATCAAAGGGAGATAACACAAGCCCACGGAAGAAAAAACAAGAAGAAGAACAGGAAGTTTGGAAATGGTAAAACTTTATTACATATTTGAAAATCCCGCCTTAAATGGGTAACACCATTGAGGTTATGTTACTTAATCATGTCTTACCGGAATGCACTGGATAGTTCTCTGGAGCTTAATTCAAAATGAAGAATTTAAATATATTTGCTATAGAATTAATTCAGTTATGTTTGAAATTATTTCAAAATTTAGAATAATTGTGACAAGAACTTTAGGTTTGAATATTAATCGAACATTTCGAAATACGCCTAAATTTATCAATCTACAGAATTTGAGGTTAAATTTTATATTATCTTCTTTGTTTTTTCTTTAACTATATTGAGATTGTGTTAATAAATAGTAAAGTAAGCAAAGAAAAATAAACACAATTGAAGAAACTTTCCAGGTGGGAAGAAGAAAAGAAGAATGATGGAACAAAATGGACATTTTTGGAACATAAAGGACCAGTATTTGCACCTTCATATGAGCCTCTTCCTCCGAATGTGAAGTTTTATTACAATGGTAAAGAAATGAAATTATCTCAGGATACAGAGGAAGTTGCCACTTTCTATGCACGCATGTTAGATCATGATTATACTACAAAGCCTGCCTTTAACAGCAACTTCTTTCATGATTGGCGAGAAGTAATGACTGAATCAGAAAGATCTAAAATATCTGACTTAAATAAGTGCAATTTTAAGGAGATGCATACATATTTCCTTCAGAAAAGCGAAGAACGAAAAGCAATGACAAAGGATGAAAAGCAGAAAATAAAAGAACAAAATGAAGAAATTCAGAAAGAATATGGTTTTTGTACTATCGATGGACACAAAGAAAAGATAGGGAATTTCAAAATTGAACCTCCTGGTTTATTCAGAGGCCGTGGTGAACATCCTAAAATGGGTAAACTGAAAAAGAGAGTTATGCCTGAAGATATTCTTATCAATTGTTCCAAAGACTCGTGTATACCAAAGCCACCATCAGGCCACAAGTGGAAGGAAATTCGGCACGATCCTAATGTTACGTGGCTCGCTTCGTGGACCGAAAATGTTCAGGGCCAAGTGAAATATGTTATGCTTAATCCATCGAGTAAACTTAAAGGAGAGAAAGATTGGCAAAAGTATGAGACTGCTAGAAAATTGGCACAATCTATAGATAAAATTCGTGCTGAATATAGGGAAGATTGGAAGAGCAAGGAAATGCGTATAAGACAGAGAGCTGTCGCTTTGTACTTTATAGATAAATTAGCTCTCAGAGCGGGTAATGAAAAGGATGAAGATCAAGCAGACACCGTAGGTTGTTGTTCTCTGCGTGTGGAACATATTACATTGCATGAACAAAAAGATGGAAAAGAGTATGTAGTCGTATTTGATTTCTTAGGTATGTTAAGTTTTATTTTAATGAAATTATCCGTTCAATTTTAACGCGTGTCTATGTAAATATTTTCATTTCAACGTATTTATAGGTAAAGATTCCATAAGATATTACAATGAAGTGCCAGTAGAGAAACGGGTGTTTAAGAATTTACAACTATTTATGGAAAATAAGTCTCCTGGTGATGATCTGTTTGATCGTCTCAATACAACTGTCATGAATAAACACTTGAATGAGCTGATGGAAGGTCTTACTGCTAAAGTATTCAGAACGTATAACGCGTCATGGACGCTACAACAACAATTAGACAAACTGACAAATCCTGATGATACAATAGCAGAAAAGATTTTATCGTATAACAGGGCAAATCGAGCAGTTGCAATCCTGTGTAATCATCAACGTTCAGTGCCTAAAACACATGCAAAATCTATGGAAAATCTTAAAGCAAAAATAGAAGCTAAGAAGGAAGCTATAACTGATGCAGAGCTTGCAGTGAAGGATGCTAAACGTGAAGCGAAGCACGGATCAGTTAAAGAGAAAGTGTAAGTTATTTGTAATTATTATATTTGGTATTTAGAAATGACAAGTGTTACATTCTATATATTTTATTATAGTGTATATGAGAAGAAGAAGAAAACTCTGGACAGATTAAGAGAACAATTAACAAAGTTGGAGGTGCAAGCAACAGATAAAGAGGAAAATAAAGAAATTGCATTAGGCACCTCCAAATTGAATTATCTTGACCCTAGGATTAGTGTTGCATGGTAACCTAATATCCCAATGTTTTAATATAAAATATATGTTTTTAGTAGTCAAACAACTGATTTTTTTTAATATTCTAGGTGCAAGAAAAATGATGTCCCTATCGATAAAATTTACAACAAGACTCAAAGGGATAAGTTCAGATGGGCAATAGACATGGCGGGACCGGACTACGTCTTTTAACCCCATGAAGAATCGGTTACTCTACAAGAAAATAATTCCCACTGATTGTATTTAGTGAATTTTTCGTTTTACTAATCGGGAGAAAAATAATGGTATAATTTTCTATATTTACAAGATGATAAAGGCGAGAGTACGGGGACATATTTTATATAGGACACTGCGTTAAAAATTTCGGTAAAGACATAATAATAGATGTGTAATAACAACACATACTCGTAGTGCTAGAGCTGATCGCTTAGCAATCATTACATTAATAAATTTTTAGCAGTTGCATTCGCATATAGGCGTTGTTTCAACTGGTCTTATAAATATTGAACACGAAGATTTAATAGTTTCACGCAACTTTAACTCGTTTAGATAGAAATTTCTCATATGTATGAATTACAAGGAATGAAAAATGTGAAAACAAGATTCGCGTAAGTGATCTAAATTTAGAGGACATATGCTTCGGTTATTTCAATAGTACAAGAATTTCACGACCTCTAAATTTAGAAGTATACACGAATGCATGGGCTGCTGCATTGTAAATAGAATTTATTATTCATAAAAACTTTGCCAGCCGGTGAAGGAAGGAGAAGTATGTGCGTGTATTAGATTCGTAAAAAAATTAACACGTCTGCCAAACGAGTAGGTAATTTTATATTCGTTTAATCTGCCTTTTCTTATAAATGTATAATATCATAAGTGGAAAGTCATTTACATTGTGCATTATGGCATTCTAGAGTGATCTAGAATGTTTAGAGCGATAAAGTCATGCGCTCTAAAAGAATTTTTTAGTACCAAATTTATCGAAAATGAAATTGTGGTTAGGAAACTCAATTGGAATATATAATGTCCCAAAAACAATTATGATATAGTCATGTATTTAAAAAGTAGATCTTCGCTTTTAGCGATTTATGTTTTATAAAACAATGTGTCGATTATAATAAATGTGAACACACTGTATCTTTAACATTTTTTTTTGACATTTGTACACATTCGAACCTTGTAATACGCCATGATAAGCTGCGTGAAAGAAAGCTGTTGGTTTTAATATGTTAAAGCCTCAATTATCATACCCACTTAGCAATAAGAAATTCTAAAGTGAAATCTAATTTTGTTCGAAAATTTGACTCGATCAATGTAACTGTGGTGAATATGTTATAACACATATTTAAGAGCAAGATACGCGAATATAGTTTAACAAATTCTTAATTCTAATGTGTATATCTATTTTGTGTAGAAGATATTCTTTCACAAGACGACAAGAATATCTTTGTTTATGTGGCTACTGGGGGACTCAAGTTACATATGAACGTTAGAAAATTTGAAATATCTTACTTGACTTGAGTAAATCACACTTAGAATAAATCGTGCTACTGTCTATATTGGAATGTGTAACAGCGACGAGTAATGTTTTTTCGTCAGAGTAAGCTGAAATGCAGTTGATTCTGAATATATCATAGACATTGATAATGAGAATATGTTTCTAACAACTTGTATTTGTTACTGAATTAGTATTACTGATTACTCGTCACTGACAACATATTCTTATGACTACGTTGTATGCATATAAATATACAAGATTATTTACACTCATAATTATGTATAGGTATATATACATATATACATATATATAAATATATTTAAGAAAACTGCAATGACAAAATTATACCAGTGTATAATTAGAATGGTGGTTCTTTCTAATTCCTATATTAATTACATGTTGGCCTATTTTATGTAAAAGTATGCAACATGAATTATTGCATTTCGAGAAAGTTAAGTTATTATTGTTATCATCATCATTATCATTGTCATTATTATTGAAGACCACTATTCTTACAGAACTGCCAATCATTGTACTATTGATTGTATAATTTAATAGTCTGACATGCTACAGAACCAGTTTCTGAGATTAGACATAAGTTCTGTGAACAATTTATAGTGGATAAAGAATTTTATTTATACGAATCACGTTCTACTACTTGCTAGAAATATAAAACTATTCAACTCCTGTTAAAGACAGCGAATAACGAAACTGGTACTGTGCTATAAACTGAATATTAATTTATATACCGGTATAAGTAGACTGAATTTAAGGTATGTGTATGCAAATGTATATCGTATTTTTAACTTAAGCATTGAAATTATTTGCAATATACGGGTTAGCAATTACTTAACGTCACAGATATAAGAGAAGAAAACATGCAATCAGAGCGTAGGCCTTTAATATCAAATATTTTGTGCACGTAAACGTCAGATGATACAACATTTTTAACTTTTACAAAATGTGAAAGGCAAGGGAACGCGATCGATATATCTAGTAAAGTGGGATATGTGCACAAAGTGAACGTATATGTATATTTCGGACACTACCATTTCCATACGATATTAGAGTAATAATAAAACTTAGAATGTCAAAATTTTGGTTCGTTTATTTAGTATGTTGAACATTTATTTACTAGCTACGAACGAAATTATAGTTATCATACTGATATATCATATCATACTGTGTACGGAATTGAAAATAAATTTGATGTTTGTAATACTTTAAGGTGTAAAAAACATGAAAAGACGTTCGGATTTTTATTGATTTATTATTAAAGAGCAAAGTACAATAATATAATATATTACTGCAGTTAGTGGTAATAGAAATAAATTACTAATAATTTAAGTCAAATAATCGTGAAAATTTGTAATAAATATTAAACGATGTAAAAACTTACAAACATAACGTCTCATATGCGTGCAGTACCATTTTACATCAAATGAAATAAATAATAAACATTTTTCCTTGTCAATGATGTTTCCAGCCAGAAACATTAAAAAAAAAAAAGCGTATAAACACAACCGTTTGAAAGTTCAAACAATAAATATGAAATTTAAATAACATGAAAAAAAATAATTATGACAGAACACCATTAAGCAAATGTAAAAAATACATTGCATTCTGGCTAGTGAAACATTTTCAATAAATATTATAAGCTTAATTAAAAACAGAGACATAGCAATACAATAAAAAAATACATTATTTAACTAAAATTTTATATTTAATAAGAGGCTGATAAAACCACAACCATAGATCAATCATGTTACTAAAACAATTTCTTTTTAAAAAGATATGCAACACAGTAAAAAAAAAATGACTAAGAATGAAAGTTATTTTTGCTTTTATCTCCTCATACAATTAATATTACATACTGCACTTAGCACCACCGTTTTAGTATATAAAATATAAAATATTCAGATTAAATGAAATCCTTTTTTTGGTTATTATGTCACAGCAGAGTAATTACCAAAATGGTAGTTCCTACATGTACATAGGTAGACTAGACTATGCTAAATCACTGTTTGTTTCGTTATTCTGTTACTTCTGTTATATGTAACGAGAAAATGTTACACAGAAAAAATTTTCTTGAATATGTTTTACATTAATTACAGTCTAAAGTGATCAATTTTGTTTCACCTATAACATTAATATTCGTTCCTTTGTTAGCGTAATTGTCATTAAAGTGTTTACAAAACGAAAATTTTTTTCCTTTTCCGTCTCTCACTCAAAGTGTGTAGCTAACACATTTAATTCATATTAATGTTTATCAATAAATCTTTGTGAATATATTTTAAGCAAACATAATTTTCATGTGTCGTGTAATTTAGTCTATTATGCTAACATCATAAAAACTGCTTATTGTCTTTTGATAACTGTTTAAATAAATCCTCAAAAAATCTCAGTAGCAATATGAAACAAAAATGGAAAATTAACTTGTCTGTGAAACGTAAAGCGATACGTACATTCGGTATGCCGGATACCGTGTGATAGGGTAAAAATTATTGCCGCAGCTCAGCCGTTCGATCGAATAAAATTAAATAGCAACAAAACCTTCTGAAATTTGCAGTATACAAATGTGTAATACAAAAGCATAAATGCTTGAAAAAAAAAAAAAAAAAAAAAAAAAAAAAGAGTACGATCATTATTATTTGAAGAAAATTTAGATTTAAACACGCATAAGTTTATAAATATGCACCGATCATTTCGTATTGCTTCATCTGAATTGTGCAATACCGATTGCCTCACTCATTTTGAATGCTGTGAGGATAGGTAGTTATCCTTCGTTCATGTATGAACGAATGTGATACTACGTTTTTTTTTCTGAGAATTTATCACAATACATCGAGATAAAAATACCGATGTAAAGATTGCTATTAATACATACGATTTCAAGATGATCAAAAATGTTATTTTCTCAATTTCATTCCGGATCAGTTTCCCCGTCTCCGATCGGCAATACTGTAACAAGACCAGCAGCTGCTACCTTAGCTTTGTATGCTTCCGGTTCGAACCAGCGAATCGGTGCCTGTTAAATAAAATTACAATTATTATATATAATCGATAATAACGTCATACAGTAAACTGTGTTGATGATTCACTTTACCTTGGTATGATGTTACAAGCAGCATGCTTTGGATTTATAAAGCAAGTGTTAAATGATTTACGGTAACGTGCATGCCTTCTTAATGTACTAACGTAAACATTATGTCGATTCAATTTATTAGGAAAAAAGAAAAAAGAAATTTGCCACGGTTTTGTCAAAACATTTGTACTACACGATCTTTAAAAATACAATAAGTAAAAACGCTTTATTATCTTCAAAATCTCGACAAATTGTACAATGATATTCACGCTATGAATCATCTGCAATCTCATACATCGTGTATAAAATTTAATACTTGTTCTTGCGTGATACTTAATAATAAAACAAACAATAATAGCAATGTCTTCGTCAAGTTCATTTAATAGTAAACTATGAAACTGTCTAAACAATCAATAATATATATGAAGTGTAAAATCAAGAAATCAATATGTATAAACATAAAATTTAAAAATCACGTGTCTTATATCAACATAACATATTTTATCCACTATGCTGTAGTCTTGTGTGGTTAACCACGGCTCTATTTAATTTAAAAAAAATAGGTTTAGATCTTTAACTATTTAATAACAGAAAACGGAAGAACATAATTAAACGCAGCTTTTTGTATCTTAATGGAATGATACTGTGCAATATGAAATTATAATGTAATTATAATAAAACAATATCTTGTACTAATACAATATATACCATAATTGTGCATTAGTACAATTCCAAGGTAAGTTACCTTAACATATAAAATCAGTAAATAACATAACAAACATATCTTACACGTAACAGGTACATTGTATCATACTGATAACACAAAGACTTTTTGGTAAATGTTAAATAATAACTAATTCATGGTAATAACACAAAATCTTTGGTTTAAGTACATAATGTCTCGCGCGTATGAAATCGATTAGCATAAGGTATTATAAACATGCTATTTCGAGCATCGATTTCGTAACTTAATGTTTACCAAGGAAGCGAATAGTTATCGAATACTCATATTTTTATCACAACCGTCCCTTACTGACGTAAGAAACATGTTCTTGTCTGATCCTATTGTACCATTATACTTAATATTCCGATTAGCATTAGTCACATGCCAGTGTCAGAAACAAAATTATAATCCGAAAGTATAGTTAACTTTGGAGGCAAATATCATTAATTCTGAGGCATTAAAGTGTTTGCCGTCGTGTACAAGAAATTAGTAAGTAACACTGCTGCACATCAGGTGATTAGCATTTGTATCACATCGGTGTACCTTGCGAACAATGTTGGGACACTCCTTCTGAATACGAGCCCAATCTGCAGGTGGTCGTTTAGCGTAAGGACCAGTTGAACACAGCAACAAAAACTCGTACGTGAGTTCTCTGACTTCTGGAACTAAATAAATGTTTAGATGAAATATCATTTGAAGGCATAACGGACTCAAAATAATTCATTACGTTCCAGACAATTACCTTCCTGAGTCGAAGGATTTGCTTCAGAAATTATACGCGGTTTGTATGTCTCCTCGCTTTCTGAAGTAGCAGTACTGTCCATGTTTAATTCTCGGCTTATTTCATTGGTATTACTTGGTGTTAACGGTGCTTTTTGTGTATTGGAAGACGAGACTGAGTAAGGGGACTCTTCTTCAAAATTGAAGTATTCTATACCGCTTGTGAAGTCAGAGTCTCCCAAGAAATATTCATCTAAGACCAGCTTTGCAGTCTAATATATACATGTGTATGTATATATATATATACACACATATAATTTGCATTAAGATATGTTCTATAATGGATTATTGAACAAGGTAAGTCTATGATCAGAACCAACTCATTTCTAGCGAAGTTAACCTATTGTATTAGAATTTAACTAATGATAATGCAGGACATTTAAAACTATTCAAAATAATATTCAGACAATGCCGTAAATACACAGTGACTGTTCAGACTATAGACTTCTCGTGTAAAAAATTTGAAATAGACGTAATGATTACCCTAACAAGATCCAGATTGCATCCTGTAATCTTCAGAGATTGGTTACCGACTGTAACCGTGTATTTATATTCGCCTATACTGGCGTCGTTGGTGGAGAAGCTGTGGAGGAGAGTATGTACGCGAGAGTTTTGTTGCTGATGTTGTAACCGATTACTTTCATCTGACGCGCTGCTATTTAACGAGGAACTAGAACCTCCCATAGCACTCTTATCTCCTCCACTTTGCTCCAATCTCACCGGCGATGCATTTCGTTGAATCGTATCTTTTATCAAGTCCTTCGCATAACTATTACAATGATACAGTAGATGTAAAAGTATGTAAATTAACAAGTGAGAATATTAACATATTACAACCGAAAACAAAATTGGACTCACTGTATCTTGTCCTCGGAAGTACCCGTGATTTGGACAAGTCGTTCTTTGGCTCCAGGGTTTACTGCGAAAATGTAATCATCATTAGATCGACGACCTTTGACTGTTGTACACAAAACTTTGATATAATCGAAGTTTATTTTATAAAGATTCATTTGCATTGTGGTTAATGCACAGAGTGTTCGACTATTGATGCCAGAAACTTTATGGGGGGGTTCTATATGCCAAAATAAAACGAAAATCAAGAATGACGAAATTGAGTTGGAGGTTTTGTTTTCGAGTTATTTACAATCAGCAGTTGAGACGCATATCACGGCACGAATACTGGCGTGTCTTGAAAAAAAAAATACACCCTTACTTCATAGCCAAACGTGATATGTACCTTTCCCTTGGTACAATCGTAACATCTGCAGGTCATTCATGAGCGTTGGCGATGTTGTCAAGTAACAAGTAGTACTTGTATATCCACTCGCTGTTTAGTTAGTGGTTGTTCTGCGTGTGTGCTGTGGTCACCTTTGTGGATTTGAAGGAGTAACCAGGTTTACTGACGTGCAACGATTCATTTGTGAAGATAGTTTAGGCTCCAGTGCAGGTGTTACACTTCACTTTTTTAACTACGAGGTAAAAGTATATTTTTTTTAGACGACGCCAGCGTACGTGCAGTCAGTGTCGTACCCCACGCTTATCGCTTATACATAGATTGCCTGGTTTCACGTGTTTTTAGCCTACATTTTTACATTTAATAACTTAGAAATGAAGCCTCAAACACAATTTCGTCATTCTTGGTTTTAGTTTTATTTTGGAATTTTTGACACCAGTAATCGAACACCGTCTATATTATATTAGTGAGTAATTATATCCTGGAAAAAATGTATGTAAATTGTAGACACTTTCCAAACACTTCAAGACAAATTATTTGCGGATTAAAACATTAACAAAGAGATCAGTATTAATTGCAGACGAGTTTTCCTGTGAAAGGAAAATAATGTAATCTTTAAGTGCATTTAAGACTATTATATAAGCAATTGTAAGCGGTAAAATAATTTGTATTAAGTATATAAAATGGTGTTCATACCATTTCGTATATACTTAAATATGATTTAATAAGCTGCAAACACAATGCATGATATACTAGTGATAATCACGTGTATGATGATAAAAATATTGCACAAAAGAAAGAATTATGTGAGCATCAGACTTCCAAAGCTTTTAGAGAATAAATTCAATTATTTATATATAGGACATTTTTCAACAACAAATATAACATAAAAAAAAGTGTCATGCAAATAAATTTAAAACATATGTTAAAACACAAATTATAATGTTGATATTCTGTTTGATAAAATACGTGTGTCCCTACTTTCTTCTGCCATGTTTTAGAAAATTTCAGTACGGGAACAAAAAATTTTGATCTCATTTATCTGCTACAAGTAATCTTTGTTGTAATGATTACAACGTGAATTAGAAAATATAACAAACATTAGAAAAGTAAACAATTAGTTATTTTTTAAATGCATGAGCATAATGCTATCAACAAGCCATCTGCAATTTGTTTGTTTACCTCGCTGGAAGGAGATGATTGTCTGGCTGAGCTCTTCGATCATGTGAACCCGCCGCCCTTTTATTCCCATCACTGTATTTTTGTGCAAATAATTTAGAAGTAGAAAAAATAATACTACTTACAATAGATATGAAAGACATGATATGGAACATACTTAATAAATTGAACAAAAAAATTAGCGCGTGACAACTTGGAATTAAATTAAACAATTAACACATAAAAAAGAAATAGGCCAATTCTATGCTTGAAAAAGATTTATATATCTTCTTCTGCTACGATATAAATGTTAACTCAAGTTTCAAATTTTCCTTACCTTTGCCAGAATCACTGTTACGTATAACAACTTCATCTTTGCAGTAATTTTTCCCAGGAATACGCGTGGGTTTAACAAATTTGCCACTATTTTTTATAACTTCACCGGGTCCTAAGATCGGCGCTATGGTGGGCGAAGACATTGCCAGAGGAGACGATAACGCGTTTGTGGGTGTGTCGGGAATTGTTTCGGCCTGTTAACATTTTTCTCATGTTTTTACGATGTATTTGATTCATGTTGAAAAAAAAAAAAATTCCCACATACATTATCCAAATGTGATAATTTCTGTGTATAATACACATCCATAGAATCTGTGTGACGCCATTGCTTAGCTCTTAACTCTATAAGTTCCAGCAAGTGAACCCTAGTCGTCAGATCTAGTTTTTCGTCCTGACTTCCATTTCTGATCGCCACAAAAGCTCTATCCAGCTGATCTGTGTACCAAATCAATATTGTTAAAAAGCAATGCTAAACCACTAATGCTTCAATTAACTTACACTTCTACCAACAAGATTAACATGTTCGCTGCCACTCGGAAAATCGTAAAGAGCACGTTTATGTACCTTCAGTTCATAACTTGAACCATATGTTGCATACACACAAGTCGTCTCTGCTTTCAACAGAGGATTCAAGGTGGTAGCTGCCGATCACACAGCACCACGACCCCTGATGACCTGATATTGAATGTGTGGTGATGATTGTTCGAAACATTGTCGACGCATTGTCGCTACCTGGTACATAGGAGAAGACATCTTGTGTCGACAATACTTCGACGATCGCAGCGAACATGTTAAAGTACATTTAAGTAAATTATTTAAGAAAATACCTTTGTAAATAGCTTCTAATTGATAGGCATAAAGTTTCAGATGGTTACACATTGTAACCACATTCATTTGCAGCGTTCGGTCATGGAAGCCATTTGTTAGTTGCATTGCAACGTTGTCGATTAAGGACACTATGTCCTCCACTGTTAAATATAATGTTTATACTCAATAAATAGAAATTAAATATACGAATAATAATAACATCCATAACCAACAGGTGAAAGTTGATGTATATGAGAAATATAAGCCAATAATTACCAGTCGTAATCCGTCCATCGACGGTCGAGTGGCGTTGATTGAGCTTAAGCGGCCGAGGTTTTTCGACTTTCTTGATGGTACGAGCTCTGTTTAGTTGCGTCGCGGCCATTATATGCAATCTTTAATAAGAAATAAGAAATTATTATTCATGTATTGAAACAATTCAATCTACTACTATTGAAATTCTGCTGAATCTACGATCGTGAAGTTAATATAAATTTACTTTCACGCGACTAGAAAGTGTAGATTTGAAACACGTCGTTAGGGAACGTATACAGGCACAAAAAAACTAAATAAGCCTTTTTGTAACAGATTTCTCTTTGAACACAGTGAAAACTTATTATAACATCTCAGCGTGCTGATCGTTTGTACAGCTAATATTTATGCAGGTGTTATTTAAATTTTTTATGATTTTAAATCATTGTGGAATTTATATCTTCTTTTCGTGGTAGCCGTTTATCCTAAATAGTTCTTCATTATGTTGAACCTTTAACTTTCTAAAGAACAGAAGTTTATTTCTTTCATTAAAACCATAAAAAGTTAAAGATGAAAAGGAGAATATCGCGAATTTTTCATTTAAGTTATTATCTATTTAAATATGTTACGAAATTTTCATTTTTCTTTTCTTTCAGCGTTAACATGCTTCAATCACTTTGAAAAGTGTAATCTTCGTAACTTTTCAATATGTATAGTTCTGCGCCGCGGGTGATTTAAAAATAACCACGAAAAAGAGGGTGGTTTGCGAAGAAAATAATGACTGACGAGGGACGAAGAAAAAGAGAAACCCGAAACGTCTAATATAACGAGGTGAATTTGAAAAATGTTCGTTCCAACCGCCGAGGACGGTCCCGAACCTTAGACTCTATACAATAGCGGGTTATTTGATCGTGGACCGCGTAGCGATAAAAATAATTTATACGGTACCCATGTGAGCGCCTCTGGCACTTTCGACATCTTGCAACAGAACATTGAAAGAAGAGAGAAAACGTACCAGGAACAAAGAAAGATAGTAAGCAAGAGAAAGGAGGAAACCAGAGTGGGGAGAGGAAGGGCGGAGGACCGAAAAGTGCGCAGAAAGAAAAAGAATAATTATGAGAACAGATGGAAGTTTGAACTGTTTGTAAGTTGCAAGGTAAATGACAGAGTATAAAATGTTCCGTGTATAATTGTACGACACCAAACACCAACGCGTCTTGCATTGACACAAAATCCAGAATTGTGCAAGCTAAAATATGTATATGTTGTATCAAGCAAACACTTGACACCTGATGTTTCGTGTCTTGTTGTGCTCAACAACGGTTATTTACACTTGAATTTTTATCGCTAAAGTAAACTTACCACCACGTCGGCCGTGCCACGGATCAACGACAGGCAGACCGTCCGTAAGAAATCGGTAAGATGTGTCGTTGACATACGTTGCGAAGATGTGTTCAAGTGCATTGAATTGGAGCCAATGATGCCAACACAATTTTAAAAATCACTAATTGACGAGGTCTAGATAGTATTGCACGCCAGCCTTAATGCAGAAAAGCCTTTATAGCTGCTGGTTCCCATTTAGGCTGTCATGCACTTTGGCGAAGAATAAAAAAAAAATTAAAAAAAACAAGCGTTTCTCTTCGTTGTGCTTTTCGGTCTAGTGTGCACGATTCCGTTAGAATCAGTTGTTTATACAATTTTCGCCGAAATGCGTGTCAACCTTTAGGATGTGAAAACCTATTGTATTTTCTATTTTGTGAATATAGGTTCATGTTTCCGCCTTAATGTACAGATGTAAGCGCGAATTTCAAATCAAATGGATGAAATATTTTCAAGTTGATTGGTCAATTTATACTATGTTATTAGTAAAATATATTGAAATTAATGTTATATATATTATTCAAATTATTAGTCAGGAAAGCATTAACAACTAATATTAATTCCTTGGCATTCTGGACCAGAAGATCATCTTAAGTAAATAAATAATTGACATTGAAAACATTTTATTCAGTCAGTAAGAAGCATTCTACATGATGATGATGATGATGATCATAATGATAATGTAATAATAATAATAATAATAATAATAATAATAATAATAATAATAATAATAATTCGTTTATAATAACCATTTGTAATATACAGGTAAACTATCTCTCTTTTTTCTCATTTTCTCTCTTTCTCTCGCTCGTTCACACACATTGAATTGTCATAGTACATAAATTATAGAAAATTCACTGATACAAAGGAAACATTACATTCTTCAGACTATGAATGTAGTCAATAAACCATCCTTATCTCGTTCTTTTTTTTCTTGCTGCAAAGATATCTTGTTAATCCTTTTTATTTTTTGTATTCGGCAGCGTTGTTGGATTTGAAGGACTACTTTAAACTTCACTGCCCACAGTGACGTTTACATGCTTTGTGCTTTTCTTTGTACATTGTTAAAAGATTCACGCCTGCCAAACAGGCTCAGAGATAACAAATCCTAGACGATTCTCTCCGTAAGGCATAATATATATATGTTCCATAGTATATCTCGCAACAGAAAGGCTGTTGTCCAGTGAAATACATAAATAAACGACAACACCAACAATGTAAACGTAACTGATGCAGTTCTATTACTGTAAATCCATATTTCTATTGATTTGAGGTAGTGTTTTCAATGTAATCCTATTATTTTGCTGCTATATGTTGTGTGCGGATATGTGTCTCATATGAATATTTTCTTCACACCCATACACTTTCACTATAAGTCCAAAATATATAAAGCATACACATATGTATGTTAGGAAACTTTGTACTTAATATACGGATACAATCATAAGCATGTGAATCCATCCAGTCTATTATTCACTGTAATTGTATATTATTGTGAACAACATGATATCCTCTTTTTATCAGTACCTAGAAACAACGTTCGTAATCTATAGAAACAAAGAAATATGTTTCTATGTATATATAAATATACACACAGACACGCACCTATGCAAAGTAGTATTTTGGACTTATAGTTACACCAGTTGTAAGTGTGTTTTCAAAAATTATCATCTATGTATAAAGTATGAGAAAACCAAATGTCGGGCAAATTTTGAAACCTGCTCACAGCTTTTACCTTCGTTTTATTTATCTCTGTTCATTACTTTTGGTACATGCCGTACGACAAACGAGCATGAGATTCCCGTTTAAAAAAGAGTACATTGACATTAACCGTGTCAAAATCTTCCCGCTATTCAGTATTCCAACTTCATTTACCAAATACGACAAGGCTGCTGACATTAGGCTTGCTAGCACTTGTAAATAATGCCCAGCAATTGTGCTATTTTGTTAGTTTCATTAACTATTATTTCATGAATAATTTATCACATTTTAATCGTCTTCATAGATTGAAAAAGAGAGGGCACATGTAACATCATGCATTACCAAGTTGGCTCAATCTATGAACACTTTTGTAAAAAATATAACATCTATGGATGGTTGAGCCCTTGGTTAGCATATAGCGAATTAGTACTTCCTTTTTTTTTAAGGTAATGCGGATCACTTCTGCAGGAACGAGCAACGGATAAAAATATCCATGTACGATCTGTGTTTAAGTGCATTTAACATTACCCTTCTCTTCACTATAAAAGGAAACATTGCTTCTTTGGGTACCAAAAGAAGTACCCAATATCTTTATATCTAATATTTAAAAAATGGAACCTATTTAAGCGCAAGAGACGGATACCTTCCTGCAATTTGATTGTACAAACACCTGTATGCTATTGCAGAAGTGATGTTCGCTCTAGTCTTCGTATATTAGTTTTTCTTACAATATCACACATACCCCCTCCCTAAGAAACTAAACGCAGTAAACATAAAATAGTACTAGATAAATTGACGACATCAATTTTGAATTTTGACACATTCGTGTTATCCTTATATTACCTTTAATATAAGTTTAACGACTTAATTGAAATCAATTCTCAAAATGAAAACAACAAGTGCAATGCACGAATACATTGTTCTTTTTATCTTAAAAAAAAAAAGCGAAACTTAACATAAAATATGACTCACATCGAGATATAATAGCCTCAACAGTTCACCAGGGGAAAAACACAAACGAAATATACATATAATAGTAAAACTATTAACTACTTCACTACTCTAAAATAGCGAGAAAATCCTAAGACATGCGATATCGCACGATGAACATTATTCTTAGAAGTTGCAGAATGCCTTGCAATTTCTAGAGTCACTTGTCCCTTATTAAAGTTTAAATTTTTCTAATGCTTGCACTGAATGTCTTGTGATTTTTACGCTTCTGTAACAATTAATTCAATATCATCCCTCCTGCTACGTTACCGGTTTTTTTTATCTCTCTTTTATAGCTGGAGAATATCTCAAAATAAAGCAGAAAGATCTTCTGCCTTCAACTTTTACGTTAAACTTACAATTTTAAATCTTGGAGCCGAAATCCATTATTTGATTAATTGTGTCACGGTTACACGTAATTTACTTTTTTTTTTATAAGTTAAGCTCGTATGTACCTTGACATTATCTCTTCATATACTGGAATATTTTCTTGCGATTCATGGAATATTTCAACTCCATAGATAAAAATTGATTTCAGACAACAATTAAAGATTAAAATCATTATTAACTATAATTATCAATTACACGACCATTAGTATGTCTTACGCAGTAATAAATTACCATCGTGCTATTTTACTTCACCGTCGACGGTTGCTTTTTTCTCTTTAATTACTAGATGTTATGAGTTATTTAGCTTAACTTATTAACGAGTATTAATGGCATCTGCTTTTGTCAAGAAGAATTGAAGTAAATTTTTTTGCATTTTACCTTAATTATTAATGCTGTACGAAATTCAGCTTTTTAAACTTGTTATGACGCTGATTTAATGATGCCGTTTTTTCTTGAAACCTAAAAAGTAATTTCAATTATATAATATGTATATTGTAAACATTATTTTCTGATGATTCTGATAAATTATATTCTAGCGAACACACTTCTTTTAGCTTTGCCCTTTTTCTGAGTTTTCCTCTTCTTAGCAGACACAGCTGATGATTCTCCAAAAGATGTAATCTCTTCCCCAAGTGTGCCGACTGTTGTCATCATACGACGTCTGTGCTTTTCTTGTTTAGTAACTGGCAAACGTGTCATGTATGTTTCTTCGTACTCTATCTTTCGCTTATTTTCGCGACCCAGACTAATTTGTTTCTCACTGAGACCGTGAGAATCTTCGATAGGTGCATCTAAATATTCTTCCTTTAATTCTCTCAGAACAGCACCCGAGACTGCGCGTCTGCGTGCTCTTTCACCTGCTTTACGCATTTTCTCTGCAACTGTCTCATCTCCATCTGCAATAATAATACAAATAAATTGTGTTCATTTTTATACGAGCTGTTGAAAGCATTAATGGTGTGCACAAGGTAGAGCAGGGTTTTTCAAGATGTTTTCCAAAACCCTGAATATCTCAAAAGCATATTTGCTGATTTACATCGTTAATGCTTTCAGGGGATCGCACCATAAAAGTTCATTGTTTCAGATCATAGTAGATATTAACCATAGTGTACTGCAGCAAGTTTCGGTGGTACATAAATATTGGACTTCCTAGATTGTGTTGATTTCAAACCATCCATTTCACCATCCTGATCACTATCAGATTCATCATCATTACTATCAATCTTGCCAACTAATGCATCAGGATTTGCTTTAAAATTAGTCGGATCATCACTGTTAATAGTGCCAGTTACAGCAGTCTTAACAAGCTTATCTATTTGATATTTAAGTTTGTGATCTATTGGTCGGATTTTCTCTAGGACAGTTCTGATTTCAATTAAACGATCAATCGATGGATCTCCCTCTATACGTTCCCCTGAACATTTTCTTAAAACTATATAAGTCAAGTTAATCAGATAAGAAAGTAACATATGATATTTCATTTCTAGGAAACTAAGACCCTTGTCTGTGGAAATCTCCCCATTTCTTACACGAACCAGCATGTTGTCTACAAGTTGGTTCACTTGTAGAACATTGGCATTCATCTCCCCAAGCAGGCGAAATGCCTGTGGGAGATCCCTTTGTTCCATTTCATCAATAGCCTGTAAACACAATTTTTTACATGTAAAAGCAAATTTGATGTTGAATACATGACACAGCATGTGTATTTGTAACAATAAAAAATCCTTCATACCCTCATTTTTTTGTCATATCTTAATTAAACAGGACGAAACAGTTATAAATAAACAATTCCCGGCACACTCTCCATTCACAAAACATTAAAACTTTCGTCTCGTGTCGGTCGAAGTAGCGTTTTACGAAGTCACTCGATATTTCTGTACAGTCTTACACCGTATTTGACACAAGTCCGGTATATAAAGATTATTTTATATTTCATTTATTCGAGCATTAATCGGGTTTCATTAAAAAAAATAAGGCAAGCACTAAATTCTGTTCATAAAACTGGATCGGAACCAATGTTTTCGTAGAAGTTTCGCGTGAAAATTCGCGGCAGGCTTAATTTCAAGAAAAATGTCGGATCCGCGGATGTACGGGGAAAAAAGCGCAATAATCTGCTGCCATCTTTCCTATTTACTAATGGATGACAGCGGAAAAAAAAACAATCAAAAATTCCCAATAGACCCGATAGAAAAATGTGTTGGTTTCGGCGACCCACAAGGAAATCCGTCGATATAATATGCTCAAAAGTTTTCACTCACCTGCACCATTGTTCTGAAATAAAAATTAACCGAACAGACGCATATCTAAATAACGTAACTTGTAATTAAACGAGTCCCCACGTGGGACGATATTTTCCTTTTCGGGGGTATATTTTTTCGCTCGGAAAAGCGTGATCAAATCACCTTCTATTACGTGACAGAAATGTTACTGTTATATGTCAGAAAAATGCTTCTAAATGGTTAGAAACCATTGTTTTAATACGTTATGAATTTATAGAATACCTTTTGAGTAAATAAATTGATAATCTAAGAATATTGTACAGTTATAAAGGATTCACTTCCTTTCCGTTTACGGGAATAAAAAATTGCGGGAATTTTAAGAATAAAAGTAAAAATAACAAATATTTTTTTTTATGTAAAGTGCAAATATTTATGCAAATATAGAATCTTATAAACTAATTAATAACAGCAGAAAGTAGAAAATATTGTATGTGTTAAATATTACTGTAATTACACACTTGCATATACCTTATTCTATGCATAAAATAAAAGTACAATTTACTGATTCGCCTTATTCAAATGTAATATTTAAATGTTACTATCATCATCATTGTTAATAAATCTTTTTTATTATATAATAATTAGTATGTACTATAATATATTATAAGACATACAAAAGTATAATATAATATATGATACAAAACACAGATATAACGGAGGAAATTTAATAAATGGCAAAATTTAGTCACTTGATTGTTATTAAACTGAATATTTAAGAGGTAGTCGTTACATTTGAATATAAATAAAACATTTAAATCATACTGTTTAAAGTATTTAAGAGTCTCAGCGATTTCAGCGGTCTCAGAGGTCTCAGAAACATCCATTCTAGGGAATTTCATATGGAATTATGTATGCCTGACGTTGTTTCACTGGTTAAAGTTTCGAGGCGAACTTCGTGTTAAAGTAAATTTCATTTTTGACGTGAACGGAGTGGGAGCTCTGCGAGTAGTAATCAAGAATAAAATAAGAGGCACGGTGTGACGCGCCTTTGACGAAAATAATATTATAGAATGGTAAGCATGATTATAGACCGCTTATTTACGAAAAGTATTAAAAATAAACTGTTGCAATACTCAAATTTTTAGCGAACTGACGTGGCGTGTTGTAGTGGAATATTTTCTGTATTCGCGACAAGAATCTTTGTGAACTACAATTTCATTAGTTCTTGACAGAACTCAATGACATTGTTTATCGCGGATATCAACAAATTACGTTGAATACCAGCGACACTACCTTTAGTAACCGGTTAAAACTTATAAAATACGTTTCCGTTTTATATAATCATACGTATCTCATGCTTGTATCGTGTTGTTTATACATTTCACGTATTTATAAATAAATCGGTTTTTAATGGATATCGATTGACATTGTGCTTGCCCGACCGAAAAGTATTACTTTCTTCGACCGTTAACATTGTCTTCTGTCTATTCACAGGGAAGATTAAGGAGTAGTGCTGTGCTTGTTATAATATCCTTATTAATTGAAACAAATGGCTTCTATGTACCTGGTGTTGCTCCCGTGGAGTTTGAAAAGGGGCAAAAAATTGATGTCAAAGCAGTTAAAATGACCAGCACCCATACACAGTTACCATATGAATATTACTCTATCCCTTTGTGCAGACCAAAAAATGGCACTCTTGTTTACAAATCTGAAAACTTAGGAGAAGTATTACGTGGTGATAGGTAAGACGCATTAATAACTTTATCTTCAAACAACAAATTAATATATTTTGTATTTATGCAGAATTGTAAATACCCCATATGAGGTACTGATGGCAGAAAATAAAAGCTGCAAATTGTTATGTCATGGTCATGAACCATCTAGTCATATGACATGGAACGAAGAAGAGTCACAGCAAGTAATAGAGCGCATTCAACATGATTACACAGTGCATTTGTAAGAAAATTTAATATCGCAAAATCAATTAAATTTGCATTTCAAATAAGTTAATTTGTTACTGTTTTTTCTCAGATTAATCGATAATTTACCAGCAGCAACAAAGAAGGTCCACAAAGATACAAATAATGTAATTGTGTATCATGGATACCGTTTGGGTGGCATTATGAATGATCAATTTTATATCAATAATTATCTTAAACTAAAATTAAGTTATCATAAATATGGAGAGTTAGTATTGATTACATCACCATGTACACAGTCAGTCTATCCGATTGTAAAAATTGATTTTCATTTTGTAGAAATGAATTTAGAGTAGTTGGGTTTGAAGTAGAAGCTCGATCAGTTGATGTAAGTCAATTGAAGTTTGATGGAAATACTTGTATATTGCCTTCCCATGCAAACCCACAATTTGTAAATCCTAAAGGAACCGAGCTTTTGTTCCTATACTCTGTGGAATGGAAACCATCCGATGTAAGCTGGGCAAGCAGATGGGACATATATCTAGGAATGAGCGACGTTGAGATTCATTGGTTCTCGATTATCAATTCTCTTATTGTCGTCCTCTTCCTTTCCGGTAAATATATTGAGTCTTTCATAACTTTCTCTGTCGTATAAATTATATACTCACTTTTTTAATAAAATCACACAGGAATATTAACAATGATTATGGTTCGAACTCTGAGAAGGGATATTGCACGTTACAATGCCGGTGAAAGTGACAGTCTAGCAGGCTTAGATGAAACAATCGAAGAAACTGGTTGGAAACTAGTTCACGGAGATGTGTTTCGACCTCCACCGAATCCTCGATTATTTGCTGCTGTAATAGGCAGTGGAATTCAAATATTTTTTATGGCCTTGATAACAATATGTAAGGTCTATAATTTTATACGAAAAGTAGTTATCATTTTCAATATTTTGTTGCTATTCCTTTTATGTAATTTTCAGTCTTTGCCATGTTGGGTATGCTTTCCCCTGCTAGTAGGGGCGCACTTGGAACTAACGCAATATTTTTGTACGTATCTTCCGGTTTAATTGCTGGATATTTCTCTGCGCGTCTTTATAAAACGATGCGTGGTCGAAAATGGAGAAGGACAGCATTATTGGTAGGAATAGGAGATGTGCCATTATACATTTTAATGGAATTTTACTAAATTGTTGTGTAATTGTTACAGACAGCGACTCTGTATCCTGGAATAGTATTTACTACTTGTTTCTTTTTAAATTTCTTTATATGGGGAAAACACAGTTCTGGTGCAGTACCATTTACAACAATGCTAGCGTTACTATGCCTGTGGTTTGGCATATCACTTCCTCTTGTGTATCTTGGATACTTTTTTGGATATCGTAAACAGCCATTTACACATCCTGTTAGAACGAATCAGATTCCTAGACAAGTTCCTGATCAATTGTGGTATATGAATCCAGTATTGTGGTAAGTATATAGGGATCATAATCTTGAAATTTCTATTGAATTAAAATAAATATGTTATTAATATGTTCGCAGTACATTAATGGCTGGAATTCTTCCGTTTGGAGCGGTGTTTATAGAATTATTTTTCATTCTGACCGCATTGTGGGAAAATCAGTTTTATTATCTCTTTGGATTCCTATTCCTTGTGTTTTGTATTCTTGTCATCTCTTGCTCACAGATATCCATAGTTATGGTTTATTTTCAATTATGCGGAGAAGTGAGTAAATTCATCGAGAATACTGTACTTTAAATTGTTTTTGCAAAATTTACATGTACTGACAGTCTTGTTTCTACCTTATTAGGACTATAGATGGTGGTGGAGGAGTTTCATTGTTAGCGGAGGATCAGCTGTATATGTGTTAGCTTACTCGATCTTCTATTTTATGACGAAACTAGAGATAACAGAACTGGTTCCGACGCTTTTGTATTTTGGTTATACAGCGTTGATGGTGCTAACATTTTGGTTATTAACAGGTACAATAGGTTTCTTCGCAGCTTACGCGTTTATTCGGAAAATATATGCCGCTGTAAAAATAGACTAGTCAAAAGATGTCGTTGACGGAGTCAATGATAAAAGGGGACAGATTTTCAAATTTACAAAGGATATTTAATTATTTCTTAAATTAAATATATAAAACCAAACAGTACATTAATTTTCCTTCAGTTTCTATTAGTCGATCTATTCATTTGGTTACATACAAGTAGTATGTCTGCCAAATATTAATTCTAAATAATTGTAAAGTTATGTTTGACTGTAAAAATATGTAGTACCCTATATTAAAAAACCAATAGAGATAAATTATAATTTAACAAAATGTACAATAATGTTCAATAATTAATGCTGTATTCATACACTGTTTCTAACTCCAATTGATTATTAGATTAAAAAAAAATATATTTAAGAAGTACTTATAATTCAGGAAATATTACTCACACAATTCAGTAAAAAATATGTATTGAGAATGTATATATACACACACACATTCATATACATACATATAAAGAAAAGATAAGCTGTATTGACTATACTAGTATTACCGTTTCAAACAGTATAAAAAGATATGTAAAAATATTGAAAAGTGTAATATTAACTATAGTCAATGCCCAGTATTATAGCTGAAAACATAGTTCTTATTGCCTTTTATTTTATTGCAATAACATGACAACGTTTTGCAATTAAGTCTGCAAAAGATTGTTGATACATCTGTTACACTGTAAGTTTAATAATATAAAATTTATGTATTTACTTTGCACGTGTTTGCGTGTAAACTTTATTCCTTAATAGTTTGTCTCACAAATTATGTATCAGTTATGATAGAATTATATTTTGGCACATTTATAAAGATCTGCATATACAATTACACACATATTATGGTTAGCAGTCATATATTTTTTTTTGTTGGATTTCCAATATTTTCAGCAATCCAGTAATACTAAGTAAAATGTATAATAGATAAGAAATTTTTATACGTGGTACTATGAAAGTGTATGTCACTGTATTTGCGATGTTTCAATGTTCTTGTGACTTTCAAGGTATGTACTTCTGTTGGAAGGAAAACAGAAAGTTGATATGTGTAAAAATAATCACCAACTATTCAAAAGTTGAGAGTACTGAAGAATTATATTGACCTGACTATGATAATGACTAACACAAATATTTTGTACTATGAATAGTGTAAATAATATGTAAAATATACTTTTAAAGACACATATATATATATATATATATGTATACTCACCCGTATGCAGGCGGGTATGCTGTTGTACATGGCTGAGAAATAATTATAGTAATAATATAAATTTTGATTTCTGTAGATTCCACAGGCATATAACATTTTGATGCGGAGTAATTATTAGGGGTAAATACCGCCTGAAATGTAAGTTTTATTTTAAGTTGATATATAACGAAATTAGGAAATAGATAATGTTTCTAAATATTCAACTTACTAGTAAGATTGAGGGATTATCTTTATTGCGCCAATTAAATGACGGTATTGTAAATTCAAATATATTCTCCCTATGTATTCTTCTACAACCATGATGTGTATGACCGTTAATAATCAGTCTTGGATTCAATATGTCTAAAAGCTGTCAATTAATTATTTTATAAATATTTATAATATCGATTTACAAAACTCTTATAAATTATGCTAAGTACTTGTTCAGATGCTTCCTTTGATAAACATTCCCATCTTTCTCTGAATTTAATATCTTTGATATCACCTGGCGCTTGATCAAGTTCATTGCAAATTTCATCAGACTCACGATACATCGGATAATGCTGGAATTATAATTGAAGTAATGAGTGATTATTTTCGTTGTTTCAAACAGTACCAATTACTGACCTGTAAAACAATTGGTTTGCTATACCTTGAAATAGCATTACTTTTTTCACAATTACTTCCTATACCTTTTGCACATTTTAAATGTGCTGCAAAAGAAATATTATTTCTCGATTTGTTAATTGTGTTAAAAAGAGAACAGAAGAAATAAACTTACTTGCTATTTTATTTAGTGCAATCTCTGTAGGACGACACAAAAAACAACCGTCTCCTTCTAGGGCCATGCTGTTGATTAAAACAAAGTGATTGCCCCTTATACTAATTCTTTTCACACTTGGTGACTTTAACCCATTGACAAATCGTTGATTTAAAAATGGTGTAATAGCTGGATAAATAATTTCTAATTATTAAAAGACTACTAATTAAATTAAAAGAATTTAAAACATTGTATAGTACCATAATGAAATCCAATATCATGATTTCCAGCAACAACATACAAATGAGTGTTTTTGGGTACAGAGAATAATGAATTAAATCTTTGTATGTATTGGTCAAACTCATCAGAGCTACTCCATTGTCCTTCATCGAATAAATCACCTATTATGGTAAATGTAAAATATTACTATGTTTAAATATTTTTGGCAATTTAAGGAGTATTTAATTATTTACCTAACACAAAAATTATGTCTGGTTTATGGAGTGTAACCATGGTCTGAAATGCTCTATACATTTGCCATTCCCTAGACAATTAATTGCAATATAAGAAACTTGATATTACAGTAAATGTAAATTCCTTAAAGAAATAATTTAAATTATGCATTGTGTGAACCTTTTCAACTTGTCAAACCAATGTCCCTTCTTAGAACCTAATAAATGAGTATCTGCTATAAACATTGCATGCACAGGTGTTTCTTCTGCACTTTGTTCGGGAATTGTTGCATCAACTTTGCGTGGATTCAAAGTAGGCCATGAACACTAGTAACAGAAACATGTATAATTTATTTCAGCTGTACAAGGCTTATACAATTAATGTTAGAATGACTTACCTGAATAAGCACAAGATAATAGAGGAAATATTCACAGAAAATGAATACACATAACAAAGCTATGGCAGCTTCGGTTAAGTATTTCTTATATGAACCTGTACTGCCATTTTGTAACATTTTGTTTACAATGTTTAATATCTATCGAACATTTCATAAAGGTTTTGAAGAGCACTGAAGAGTTTAAAGGTTTAAAGCGGTTTAAAGTCTAACAACTAACTAGTGTCACCAGGTGTCACATCCTTCGTAACGTCATGGATCTGTCGATAGTTTGGTCCAGCACCGACAGAGGTGTCTACTATTTCTGCAAATTCCTACTTTTTCTATTTAAATTATATTACATGTAGTTACAATATATGTAAGCACCGACTAGATATAGGATAGACCTATCATCTTATGGGACTTCGTGTCTCATGTTTTGAAATATTGATAGTGTAAAAAGTCAGGGATTTTGTTATATACTTGATAATTGGACAATTATCAAGAAAAAATATATACCAAAGATAGAAAATAATTTTTCGCCCCTATGGAGGTGCCAGGGACCCCGTGTGGTGAGAGCATGGGGCCATAGAACCCCCAGCGGTGGCGCCAGAGACCCCGTCTGGTGAGAGCGTGGTGTCATAGAACCCCGGGAGATGGCGCCAGAGACCCGTATGGTGAGAACATGGGGTCATAGAACCCCGGAACACGCGCAAGAGTTTTGAAACGTGATCCTTTATCGTTGTTGCTCGTACGAATTTCGAGCTCGTAATTATTTATGCAGTTATATTTAAGACAATTCGATGAAATGAAGCTTATATTACCTGACGTATGTTTATTGGAATATACATATATACATATAAATTATAATGATATAAAAGTTTGAAATACAATACGATGCGTTACGGTACAATACGTCTATTCGATTCAATTGCTCCCTTGCGATTACATCATGCTATCCGCGTTCGGTGCAGTACGCTAATACGGAGGCCAACGAAATATCACTGTAACACTTAAAGAAGTGTTAAAGTTCCATTTATATCATTGTCCTATGAAAATGTTCATACTGCCAGCAGCATTCATATTCCAATCAAAGAATTTACTGAATAAGGACAAGGAATCTAAAGTAATTTTCAGTAGTTCCATACATCTTTATCTCGAATAATTTTCTAAAACATTCAAAGTAC